GCCACCTTTATGGCGTTAATGCGATCGAATTCATTAAGAAACGTAACAGTATTTCACATTTTTAATATTTAGGTCTCAACTCTCATCAAGAGTGTACTTGATGGTCCGAATTCACGCGTAAAGAAGACATTGTTGTTACTATATGGGCTTAAATGACCAAAGCCACAGGCTGCCGTGAGCCGTGGCACAACGCTTTTTTACTGCTCTATGGCGAAACCGGTTTTATCTACCAGAAGGCGTTTCCAGTGTTGCAATAAAGTTCCACGACCTGGCAAGTACTTAATACATTACCTTTTCGTTCTACTCATTTGGTATATACAAATATTGTGCTTTAAAGTTGATGTGCCAGAGCTCTCAATGGCCCCCCATAAACTACGAATTAACCACAATGATGTCGTGGATCCCAGAGAGTGTCGTCTTAATCGGTATTAATTAGATGCATAGGCTGAGAAGAGGCGTACATTTCTACACACGAAGATCAAGCCTAGGTGTCAAGCATGTTCATCATAAGCTTGGTAATTTAATGAAACTTCTTTATGCCCCATTCAAGAAGCTCTGATCTTGAATTCCTGGAAACACTAAAAAGTGTAATTTACTGAATAATTTGCTCAAACCATTATAAGAGATATTCTCAAAAATGCTTTTATCAGTGTTTAACCTTTCAAATCTGGCTATTTGCTACAGCACGAAAACGTTTCAGTCCTCGGATGATGAGGGGGTCACTTCCAAACTACTCATCGCACAACATGCGGACTAAGTCGACTATCTCATGAGTTAAAGCGCCAACAGATCCGATTTTTTTTGCAAAACAGTTGTGTGTGCAGCATTTTGCATGATTTCTTAAAATGGTCTAAAATGTAGGCAACTTAACCTAGTAGGTGGCATATTTGGCTCGGTATAGAGCTGGTTGGCAGCAGCTGATGTCACAAGGATGCCCCCAGTAGGACTTGACAATGTAATATTCTTAGCTATTGAAGATAATGTGAGTCTGTTCACTGGCCTTTGGTGTCTCTCAAAAATTTGAAGACAATAATTTAACACAGTAGAATTTATCGAGCTAAAAAATAAATTTTTTTCGCCAAGCAGTAAAAAAGATAAATTTGTCTCATTGGATCTGTTTGCCATTTGATATTCACAAACATCGGAGGTTAGAAGTTTGCTTATAGTTTTACTCAGTGTAAATTAAATTGAAGTAAGGAGGAAAATGTGTGGATTTAGAAGGTTGAGGTCAAAAAGAGTGCATTTTTGTTACTTCAAAGAAATATCATGACAGATAGTTGCGAAGAGGGAAGAATAGGAACTATAGCTCTGGAAACGAGAGGAAAAATTGTCTCTTCAATTGTTCAGCCGATTTTAGGCTTCATAGGTAAAACTTGGAGTCTCACTTGTCACTGTAATGCCTCCAACTGGACGACACCTCATTGTGGAATGTCGATCTCTAGTACAACGCGAAATAACGAAGGAACGGCTTTCTGGTATGGATTTACCGTATAATTCAGGTCCATGGGTAGAGCTGGAGCGACTGCTGCTGCTACTACTGCTGCTGCTACGGCTACTGTTGCTTGCATAATAAACCCTTGGCCGCGATCTGAATGGACCTCGTGAACGGCCACTGGAGCTGCTAGATTCAGTCATTGTATCCGAACTTCCATCAGAAGAAGACAAGTAACTGCCTTCCGACCCGGCATTTCTTGGCATCTTGTAGATTGTACACACTTTGACCTGTCTCTGCGGCGACATCGGAGGTCGTGATCTCCTAGGCTTTGCTGATGACGCTCGAGGCCGTGGAGGTTGTGATGTGTGAAATCTTGAAGTAGTTGTGACGTAAGTAGTGTGACATGGTGAATGGATTGTTATAATGGGGCTCTTGCTTCTTGCTCTTCCACGAGGCGGTGAAAATAGACCGTCTGTAGATATGTAGGACTGCACACCTCTAGCAGGTTTGCTCGAATGATGTCGTGGTCTGTGGGTGTACGAGGATGATGACAGTGATGATGAAGATAGCGAAGAGTAACGTGTTGAAGGTACGGTGGTTCGAGAAGGCGAATGCGTTTTGGTGGATCTGGTGTGCTCAGTTGTTGGTTGAGTCAAATAATCCGTCGGTTGATTAGAAGTTGGTCGTTCAGAAATAGGAGGCGATTGTGTGTGCGAGGGTAATGTAGATTGAAAAGGATCTTCCATTCTCGGCACAAAATTGTTGTAATCTTTCTCCTCCTTAAAACGCATCGCATGCAGAACAATAGGTGATTTTTCGTCCGGTCCAGGGTAGGCGAATGCGACAACTCTATCAGACGGTGAGGATTTCTTTAGACTCTTTATCTTCTCATAGTCGATGGTATTAACAGGAGATGGTTTTTTTCCGAAAGATTTAAATTTCATGGATTTTCCCAATGATTTTACCTCTATGTTCGCCTTACCCGGCTTTGCCTTCAGGGCCTTTTGGTAGAGCTTATCCAGCTTAGAATCATACCCCTTTGTCTTCTTGAACTTTTGCAATTTGATGTGATCGACGGTACCTTTGAGATCATTCCTTTCTGACATGTTTCGTTGAAACTACCCCTCTGAGTTCGTTCTATGTACGTACGGACTGGCAGACCTTAAAATGCAGAGAAAAGCTAAGTAACTTTTGAGTCATGGATCACGGCAGCCAATGGTAGGGCGTTACCTACCGTAATTACTAGTTTAATTCGGTGTTCACCAATCATTTAATAAGGAAGCGAGAGTACCTGCATTTTCACACAAACACTTGTGATAACTAGGCTGTTTTGCATTTGGCAGTGCCATTGCTGGAGGCAGAGGTTCGTTTCTGCTGCTTCATAATAAGTCTGTTACAGGATGATGGTACGAAATCGCAAGGGGAAAGTTAAACTGTCACAAGAGAAGTCTCGCCTAAACAGCCTCCTTTTTTGCTCCAATTCTCCCTTGGACTGCTCAGGATATTCTTAAGCTTACAAAACACTAATGCCAACTTTAATAGGCTCCGTTATTTAGTATAAAATGCTGACCTAAGCTGGTGAAAATGAGAGCTTTAGCAGTTCTCCCCTTTACCATGCAAACTTGTAGAGTCAAGGACAACCTGCTCTTGACAAACAGTCGGCCTTACTAGTTCTCCTTTCCTTCTCTCTATCACTGCCCCGCTAAAATTTGTACTTTGTCATGCAATGATACAGGTGAAGCACTACTTTTACTTCGTTACAAGTGTTTGCATGCATTTCGCTAATACAATCTCTTTTGCCCCTCACCTGCACTCCTCACAACAACTCTGTGCGGCAGCTGTCATGTCATTTTTCTTGAGGATTCACAAAACACTCATGTCGAGAAGTTGTCATCTTGCAAAGTCCAATTTATGATCTAAGAA